TAAGAAATTAAATAGATGTGGCTCGATTTAAAAAAAAACATATAAAAAATACCAAAATAACATTTATTATTTAATGATTTTTAAGAGTTAATACTATGAGCTGAATTAATAAGATTAAAACACGAAAAAAATGCATTAAAAAATGCAGTATTGGAAATGTAAAGCGACAACTAATTGGAACAAAAATATTTTTGAAAACTGACAGTTACTGTGAAACCGAGAGAGGACATTAGAACAAACCACCGGTTGGAATTCTACTACTTCCCTTACCCAGTCAAGATCGAGCCCGATTGGAAAACACATTTATCATACATCACAACATGATCAGTATAGTTACATTAATTTCAGACGCAAACTTTTCGAAACTAAGACTATTATGTTTCGTGTTATAAACGTTCGTTGTACGCTAACACCGAAGATAAAATTTAACAATTACCATAATATAAACCACGAGAACGTTCGGACCTTACTCCGTCTGCATTAACAGTTGTCTAATTCAATAGAGAAAAGATGAGGGCTATTAGTAGAAGAGTCGGATTACTCGTCTCCAGTTTTGCCTGAACTTTCAGTCCCTGTTTGCTTTACGAATTGTCCTCGAACACGGGGCCTCTGTTCTGCTAATTTCTTTCTGTTCTGATATCGTACCTAAGCCAATTAACACTGTAAGAAGGCATCCATAGAAATCAGAAACACAAAGCAAGAAACGAATATCGCTTCTATTGTCTAATACCCAGGTAATAACCGAAACCGTAAGACTCTAAGAGATTGATTATCAAATTAATCGATCAAAGAAAGTAATTTATCCGTTAGAGATAGATGATTATAGATGAAAAAAAATGACAGTTTAGAATCTAATGGCATGCCCGGGCGGCCGGGGAGGGCATAAATCTTGGAGGATAAGAAACTCATCACGAATCCTTTGTTTTAGATCCATATAATAAGTGAAGTCTTGAAGTCGTCGAATTAAAAGCAGGCAAGTGCTATTATAGAGTATAAACAGTGACCACGACCATGTAAACACCCTCATAATAATTATATTTATACTAAAACTGCAAAGAAAACATGTTACTTGTGTTAATCGACTATAGAAAAACAAACTTGCACATTAGAACAATAAGCTAAGAAACGAATAGAATCGACTAGAAGAAAGCTATCTGAATCCGAAAAACAAAAACAAAACAGAAGTTACCTGACATTATACTTGAAATACCAAAGCTTATTTATTGTGCAACTGCGGAATATTCCACAGTCCCGGGATCAAGGGAAACAATACAATAGAGATGTTCAACTGAAATATGGGAAAGCATTAGTCTCTCATAACTGGACATATACGAGAGACCGAGATAGCTAATTTTTTATACTTTATCTATTTATCATGAGGTAATATTCTGGTTTTCATTTAATTTCTTATCAAACTTACTCCAGCTGTCCAGCATGAAATGAAAATCACATCAAATCACGGAATTGAAGCGAAAATGATGTATAAAAATTCATTTTTACTACCTTTTTCTTAAAGCATCTTTCCTTCCTCTTCAGGCGAAACTTGATTAAAGCAGCTGCTCGCTGTGCGAATTTGTCTCCATTACCACTACCACTGCCGCTAGCATCTGCTTTATTTCCACTACCACTGTCGCTAGCATCTCCACTTCCACTTTTTCCAGCTTGACCAACACCACTTTCTGCATTGTTCCCTACATTAATGACGGTGCTGCTTCCGTTCTGTCCGTTACTTTCATGATTACTCCCTGAGGCACTTCCACCAAAAACATTTGTTGATCCACAATGTGGAGCATCTACAGCCAATTTCTTTAAGGACGATTCATCATAGTTGGACGAAGGTTGATTTTCAATGTGGAAATTGTAGTGGTGGTGGTGATAATTTTGGTTAATTTGACATAAGTCTGTAGATTGCATTCCACTAGGCAGAGGAATGTCCTGATTTTTACTGTATCTAAAGTCCTTTTTTATAGATCTAAAAGCAGAAGGGTGGACATCGTTAGTTGTCGATGTAGCTTCAGATTTATCTTTAGGAAGCTTATTAGCGGTGGAGCCCATATCTACATTAGAACTTTGGTGTACAATATGGTCAGTCGAATACACCTGCATGTCACCAACAGACTCCCTTTTCGGCACGTCCATGCTATTGTCAAGTACGGAATTGCTGATGTTGACTCCATTAGGAGCTCTGGAAATATTTATGGAGGTGTTGTACCTGGAATTTGAATATCAAACAAATAAAATTGTAGATTTCATGACCAAGAAAAATGAGGAAATTACTGAATCGTCTGATATCCGTTTCTTTCAAACCTTGAGAAAGCTGATTGTTCAGAACGGCGCAACACATAACTATCGTCTAGAACAGATCTCCCTGTGTCCTGAACTCCTCTGATTCTCTTTAAGCAAAGCTCAAGGTTTGGCTCGTTACAATCATCACTAGCATTATTGTTGAGGTCCAACTTGTATGCCACCACTTCTCTAGTACACTCGGATTCTCTACCAGAGGGATTGGCTTGTCCCTCCACATGATCTTCCGATTTAAGTTCAACACCTCTATTCACAATTGTATCCAAGTAATTGCCCTCTTCAACAGTGTCTAAAGAATAAATTTGCACTTTAAGATCAGGAAAAGAAGAAAAAAAGAATAAAGCCAAAGAATAAGATTGTTCAGTAAATACCAGGATGTTTCTGTCCATGGCCTTCCCCTACTACACTAACTTGCACCTTTCTGTAGTCAGATTGCTCGGCATTTGATCGAATAACTTGGGCACATGTGCTGTCTGCGCGTTCAGCTACTTGATCCACTGGAGATAGAGCTTGAGAGCTGTCAACTTCTACAGCTTGCTTTGTCCAAGAGCTCTGTAAAATAGTAGTGTTATACTTGTGTGTGTCGAAAAGAAAACATAATTTCCACATTGTGGAAGTGTTTCCAAAAATGAATAAGATAGAAAGTTGAATACTAAACCAGGTTCGAGAAACTAATAAAACAATTTAAGCGGAAAAAGAAAAACGGGTGAACTCTATATAAACTCAACACTCTTAAGGTAGAACTCCCACGAAAATGCTGGTTAACCGAAGAAAAACAAATTACCAATCAGGTAGAGGCGAACAAAATTTTGTAGTTCATCTAGGTGAAACAAAAAGGAGAACTGTACTACCTGTGCTCCACTCCCATCATCACTTCCATCTCCAACATTTAAGCCATTGCTTGCATCATTTTCTCCACCATCGCTTGCATTGTTACCTGATCCCTCGCTACATTTAGATTTCACAGACTTTTGAGGATGTGTCCCACTTACGCTCCCGCTTCCACTAGACTGAAAAGCATATGAAATCGAGAGGAGAAATGAGTGAAATATAAAAGCTAAAATGCTTTAAACAGAGAAACTACAAAATGATCAGGACAAGAAAAAAAATTCCACCAACAGAACCCAGAAATTTTATTATTTGAAAAACGGAAAATAACACAACATAAAACAATCCACAGTGATTTTTTTGTTTATTTTTCAGTCTAGATGATTTTTTTTTTTTTGACATCTTCACACGCTTCTCTTATATTTTCTCCTTATCGTGGCCATGGTAACAAACTAATAAAGAAACCAAAAGGGATCAAGACTGCCTGGTTTTCCAGGCTAGATGTTTTCATTGCTACCACAAATATCAAACAAGATAATCCAAAATATTATGCATCATACTCTAGTCAGTGAATACCAATTAAAATGACAAATTGTGCGAGTTCAATCAACTTTGGGGTGAAACCTGAATGTAATTCAAATATAGCATGGTCTACACATGTTATGGCTATTACCAAGTGCAATTACAAGTTTAATAATAATGCAGAGAAAAATGCAATGACTCACGCTGTGGCATCTCCTCCATACATGCTGCCAAAGGTTCTTAAGCTCATTCTTCCTTATAGGTTTAACCAAGAAGTCAACTGCACCTTTGGAGAGACACTTGAAGACCAAACCCATTGAATCATGAGATGACATCACTGCACATAAAACTCAAACAGTGTCAGGGCTAATAGAACCTATAATATGACAACCAAATTGTTAAAAGGGGATAATTACTCACTAATCACCGGAATGTTATTGCGTGCTGTGTGGCTCGTTATCTTGGATAGAAGACCTATTCCAGATAGAGAAGGCATTACCACCTCCGTTAAAACAATGTCGATGTGGTTGGTTAGATCTTCTAAAATCTTCCATGCTTGCAGTCCATTAGCTGCGTCTAGTACTGCATCGACCAGTCGAGTAGACTTAGGTACATCAAGATGAACATGATCAACAGAAATATTTGACAAACGGAGATCCTAACCCACATTAACACTGTTATCATAACTTCATAAGAACAAATACATCAGCTTCATTTTGCAGAATAGATGAGACAAGAAACTGGAACAGATATGACAACAAAACCAACAAAATTAAGGTTAGAACCTTTAAATATTGCCTACTAGCGGCAACATAGAACATGGAGGAGCTCTTTCATCCTTTATCGAGTTAATACTGGATTTCTCAAAGGTCTAGTTGCCAACATTATGAATCAAGTTCTGGAAAATAAGAAAAACTATCTATTTGCTTTACCTAACACGAGCAAGCATTTGATGCTGGAATCTAACATGTTTTTTACCTAGTTCTTTAAAGCAGTTGAAATTCTAGGTTTGCATGAGCAATGGAGTAGTCTACCTTATTCTAGCATCAGGACAGACTCTTATTAATCACTGACAGGAAAAGTGAGAACTTCAAATGTGTACTGAGGTGATTCAGAAACGTACTTCACAGATGTAGACAACCTCCTGATACATAGCGTAACATACACAACCAAAGGAATACTGATACTGTAAATAGTTGAACCTGGACTTAGATCCTGAGACGAGTCCACCACATTTTACCTATTATCAGTCTTATATTTTACATGTAATTTTGGAACAAGCTTACTCCAGCGAATTTGCAAGCATGCTTAAATGTTTATCCTAGCTCAAAATCCTTTTATAATCTCACATTGGAAACCCTTAAAACCAATTCTCATTTGACAATTGACATTGCTCAAAGTAACCTACCTTCATAGTTGCAGTTTCTGAGCAGAGCAGTGAGTACATGGCGCGTCGAATCATCGTCCTCCACCAGAAGGACCCGGATGGTTCTCACATGAAGAAACCTCTCCCAGCAAAATAATGTCCTCTGATTCTGTTGTTGCTTCTGCACTTGCAGAATACTCGGAGCTTGCAATCCACTAGTTGATCCATGCTTCTCAGCTTGGTTGACTGAGTCAACCTTCAACTCATTAACCTGAATGAAACTACGTCTCTCACTCGCAATTTTATCTGCAATCCCATCCTCCTCATTCAGCGAGTTCTTTTCTACGTTAGCATCAATATTCATCGAATTACTCCCTGAAATCAGATCCAAAACAATATTAATAATGCGTAGTAAAAATCTGATAATTCCGTCATTAAAAAAAAAAAATAGTGAATAGCTAATAGTAGCATGTTCTTTCTTCAAAAACCTAAATCCTGCATTATTAGCCATCCTAATCCACAACGAGAATTGTCAAACAATGAACAGAGCAACTATTTAAATATGTAATCAAAATAAGATTAACAAATCTTTACTTCCACCGCAAAAAAACTATCGGATCAAAATCGAAGGTAAGCCTGCTCGGTAAAGATGCTTCAACTCCCTATCGCTTCTCATTTCATAGCCTGTACATAAACATATCAGAGCATCCATCAGCCACCAAACTATTAAAACTTCAAACCCTAAATCTTCACCACCTAATATAATTTTAATTTAGCCAATTATAAAAACCCAATCAATAACCCCCAACATATTCACTATAAATCATACCGTGCGTCATCTACAAAAAAGCAGAAAATCTCATACAATATTCAGAAAACTACTCCACCAAAAAATTAGATACTCACAACTAAAAATTGAACTAAAGCTGAGGATTAAAAAATCGAAACCTGAATTCAGAGTTCATCAGTTTTGGCTGAATCGACGGTCAAAAGTTTTCAAATTCCGCCTACAAAAATGGACAAAAATAAAACAGAGAAAAACAGAGCAATCCCCAATCAAACGACTCCCGCACAAAATCATGCAGACAAAATTTCAGATGAAGTTAGAGCTTCGATCGAGATTTAGATAAGCCTTATCGAGTATGCTTTTTCCTTCTATGTTTTTTGCCTTTTTGAGAAAAATACAGTGATTTTTCTTTTTTCTTTTCTTTTTTAGGTAGGAAGAAGTATTTTTCTTTTTTTCTTTTTTATTTTATTTTTGTAAATGCCACGTAGGAGAATGACGTGTACAATTTGAGGGCTGTAAATATGACACGTAGGAATTGATCGATGACCTGTAAGAATGACGTGGATCAAATCTAAAGGCGAGAGCTCTGGGGGTCTGAGCTAAATCAAAACTTGATTTCCCCGAAAATATCTCGATTGTGGGCGGGAAACGCCGTTATAACGGGGGTTGATGGCTTCTGTGGGAGTCGTAAACGGCGTTAAGTTGTTTTTGCTATTTGACGAAATTAGCCTCGGCAGTCGGATCAGATGCGCCCCTTTTTTATACTGACACTTGTAGTTTTAAATTATATATAAGGCAGGAAATCATTAGCCTAACTAGATGAAAAGACATAAAAACCCCTAGGAATTTGGTTAATTTCCTATCACACTTTTTTCTGGCTAGTGATTTCCATGTGGTTGGGCAAGAAAAAATCTGGAAAAAATATCTAAAAACAAAAAAGAATTGCTACACTGTGGTAGGGAACACAGATATTTGTGTGTTCCCCTGTCGAAAATTCAACAAATATTTTTACACAATAATTCTATAAAAAAAAATAGCTGACGTGTTGTTACTTATTATAATTGGGAAAAATAAATAAAAAAATGATTTGGTTAAGTGGGAAAAATGGCTTGTCTTTTTTTAATTAGGCAGGCTAAATAAAATACTAATGATGGGTCGTTTTCTTCTTTTAAGTGAATGTTTTTAGTTTTGGCCTTGTTTACTGTTTGGCTAAATCACAAATGTTGGGTCAAATCATCAAATAAAATAGTATGCAAATATGTTTCAAGTGCAACTTTTTTGTTTTAAGCAAAACCAAGCAGAAGTCGTCTGAATTAATCATTAATTGTATCCAAACATAGAAATTAACAATATATACATACATATACATATATATTAGGTAGAGAGAAAAGGAGAAGTATTGCCAAATTCATTATTTCAGATTAGCTAATTTGATGGATGTGTATACCTAACTCCGGCCTTTATGCTTTTCTAAAAAAAAAAATTACGGAAATACAAGTCATAATCGAGCTCGAGTTAATTATTTGCAATGAAAAATAACATGTAATACGAAAAAATAGAAGCAAGCCATCTCGTAAACTTATGAAATGGAAGAAAGACCAAACTATTCGAGCTAGAACTAAGCCACACAGCATGACAACATAACAATCATGCAAAACAAAACAATAACAAAACTTTCCGAGATACATGCACTAAGTCCTGCGTTTTATGCAATGAGACTGGATTAAAAATGGCAAATTTTGACTAGAAAATAACAGCAGAGTGAATCCACCGAAGTAAAACTCTATTACAGTAAGCTAATGAATGACAGTGTATTTTCCACAAACATAACCAAAATTAATCAAATGTCTGATCGAAAACTAAACGAACAGCCACATGCAGGATAAAAGAAAAATAAAAGAACTAAGATCTCGGTTTTTCCTTCTTCTCCTTGAAGAGGGCAAGGAGAGAAACACCAGATACCTTCACAACCTTAAATCGAACCCCGGGAATATCTCCCACAGCGTGTCCCTTTCTTCCAAATCCAGCAATCAACACTTCATCCTGTTTAACCATTTGCAAGTTTATCCATTATTCATTATAAAAATTAATATTAAAAAGAAATAAACAATAGTAAGGTCGATAAATGATTAAAGGGGTCTCTCACATTTTCCTCAATATAGTTCAAACAACCATCATTGGGAACAAAAGCAGCAATCTTCTTGCCGTTCTTGATGAGTTGAACCCTAGCACATTTACGAATGGCAGAATTCGGCTGCTTAGCTTCAATACCTCTGCAATGGGGGCAACAAGTTAGTTGTGTAAAACTTTTCATTCATTTCAAATATATAACGGAAAAGGCATGAATCATCTCACATTTTCTCAAGCACGATGCCTTTGGCGTGAGACGAGCCAGCAAACGGCTTCTTCCATTCGTTTCCAAGGTGAGATTTCTTGTATGACTTGTCAGCCCATCTTTGCCTCCTACGGTGAGACTTGAGCTTGCGCCCAGCTCCCATACCACGTGTCTTACTGCGATACAGTCAAACAAACCATCGAACCAATCAACAACACTGATATAAACTTACAGACAAGGATAGAATAGCCACATTGAGAATCTCTTCTCACTTACACATAAAACTACCATAGTGCATTAATACTCAAAATCAGCCACACAAAAAAATCACGGTAGAATCGATTAATTTGAAATAGTTTAAAGAGATGTTTATAGGAACAAATCATGTTTTTTTCAGAGGCACAAAATGCCAATATAATCCAATCAACATAATTTCAAAACAATTACATTAGCCTTCAAAATGTGTAAATTCAAATTCGATAATATTTAACTTCTCACGATCTACAAAAAACAGCAAATTATTCGAATCGACATGAATTAAATTTCATTCAATCAGAAATACACTACACTATACCACAAAAAAAAAAAAAAAAAAAAAAAAAAAAAAAACCATCGTTAACTAAAACAAAAAAAAGGTAAAAATAAACGCGCGGAGAGACAACACAAAACAAAAATACGAATTAAACAAAATGTAAGCTCGTCGTACCCCATGATTGCAGACTCGAAAGAGCGGCGAGGCTAGGATTGAGATGTTGCAGCGAGGAGGAGCAGCCGCGCGTACACTGAGCTTAAAACCCTAATCCGAAAATGTACCGGTGACGATATGCGCTGTTATTTATACTTAAACCTCTAAAATTGGGCTCCTTTGAAATGTACTTGAGCCCTTCGGCCCATTTGTGTTTATGTAAAAGCCCATTAATTAAGCCCGTTAATTTTATTATTTATTTTTGGGTAAATTACGATCACCCCTCATGTATGGTCAAATTACAAAAAAACCCTCTTGTTTTGATAATTACAACCACCCCTCAACTATAAATCTTTTTACACGTCTACCCTTGCGGTTTCAAATTTTGTCGAATTTTCGAGATTATATGGATTATTGTCACTTTTGTACCCATTTTATCCGATTCGAACTCCACATTTTGAAGCAAGATGATCATAATATGTGTTTTTAAGCTTGTATATATCAGATTGTGGTGCATCACAAACTGTATTTTTACACAAAACGAGTATAAACTAGAGCACATTTCACGAAATCTAGATCATTATGTTGAATTTGACACCATAAGGGTGGAAGTGTAAGAAAAAATCATAGCTGATGGGTAGATGTAATTATCCAAACAAGAGGATTTTTTTGTAAATTGACCATACCTCAGGGGTGGTTGTAATTTACCTTTTATTTTAAAATTGAGTGTATAACTAGATTAGGGAATGAGAAACTAGAATTGGAATTTTTCGGGAAATATTTCCTGAAATAAAAAAGGATTCCGTAACAAATCACACCGTTAGGGGTCGGTGTAAGACGTAAACAAACGTCAGGAGTGTTTTGGTAATTGCGGATAAGTGAGGATTTTTGCAATTTAGCCTGAGTTTAGGGAGGGTTTCGTAATTTACTCTTATTTCTATTAATCAGAAGTCACTCTGCTAGTGAAATTAAAACTAGAGAAATAAAGTACACGGCCAAGAGTGGAAACTCAACTATTACATAGTTTTATACAATAATAATCATTTCGTTCACATTACACACACAGCACATAATGGAGTCATAAAATAAATAAATAAAAATCATGACCCTGTTGTGCGATGTTAATCTATGATGCACTTATTTCAGTGAAAAAAAAAAAAAAAGAATTAAAAGAATTGAATATTTAAAATAAATATTCGAGAAAATTTGTTACTGTGTTGTTACTGTTATTGATAATGGTGATGATTCCATCTTTTTTTGCAGCCAATGATGCAAAGATTCCCTAGTCACCTTCAGTCTCTGAAGAACCATAGGTCTCCTAGTCGGAGATTCCGATGCTTGTTTTGATTCACTCCTTTCAATCGTTTCTCCGATCGAACTAGAATACATACGGCTCCCTTTACCTCTCCCGCTTCGAGAGCCTGCTGCAAAAACCTGAAGCCCCAAATCGTGCTCCAGCAGTCGAATCACAGCTTCCTTAACTCCGTCGCTCTCGCCTTTGATGAAGTCACTACCTAGCTCTTGTAGCCCTAGTATTATCGACACATCGTCTTCCATCGAATTCCCTGCCCACAGAAAAAAGAAGAATCGAAAAAAGGGTCGAGATTAAATAATCCTGTGATGTAATAACCACACGTGGCAGATTCTCGTTTTCTTTGTAACTCGATGAATAGGATGTTGACATTTTGTGTCACCTGCAATATACTTTTCTTTGATCTTCCGTAAAACTGCAAGAACAATAATCCGAGCTTCTACCTGCCGATTTGATCGAAAATGCGGAATTAAAGCAATGGCAATTAAAATATCTGTGTGCATTTACCGCTGTGTTATATCGAATTGTTAAGAAACTACCCGATGTTATTTTATTAGAAAACGTAGTTTTTTAGCAATTCGATATAACACATGGGTACTAATTGCCATAAACCCGATACTATAATGTACCTTGGTGAGACCTTGGAGGTCAATAGAGAGGCTTTCAGCATTACTATCTTGCAGGTGTTCTGCAACTTTCTCGAGCAGCATGCTTTGAGGCCCAAAATCTGTTATACGAGAAGCGAATTGTCCTTCATTATGATGTTCGTTTTGTAGCACACCTTCACACCATTCCTCGATTAGTTGCTTCAGATAGTAATCGTTGGGCTTGTACCTTAAGAAGGGTGGTTCGTACAGTGGAGATTAGGATTTATGTAACAAAAATTTAACGCATACTGTAACCTAATCCAGAGAAATTAAAATCATCTAAACGGCATTATCAAAATGCATATGGCCACTACGAAAGAAATCTCAGGTGGTTTACCCTGCTTTTCTCATTTGCTGATATACAGCAAGGGATTGTTGTACTTCCTGCAGTGAACCATATCTACTACGGGCGGTAAGAATAGTTTTGTAAGTTACCTGCAATTAAAATTTTAGGATTTACATAAATGTAGTAATTTGTAACCGAGACACCGAAAATAAAATAAAGGAAAAATAAGTCCTACTGAAAAACTTACCAAATTCGGTTTTATTTCATATTTCTTCATTTCTGCAAATAACATGAATGCAAGCTTTGGTTTCTTATGTTTTACACAGATCTGTAGTTGAAAGGAAAGAACCCCGAGCAAATATGTCAGGTACAATGAAGCAGTAACAAGCTGGCAGAGTTACTGAAAGATAAAAAGTATTGCACCTTAATAGCTGTGGTATAGGCAATGACATCAGGTTGAATACCAGTTTCATGCAAGGATCTCAAGATCTGCAGCGGAAGAAAAGACGTCAAATATCTTTACATTGATTCTAATGTTTAGCATTGAAAATCTAGTAAAACATATATTACAACCAAATTTCCCGAAAAGCACCCTATTGCAACTCTAAAGTCTACTCTTGTGAGCACAAGACCACTGACATCCTTTTCGAAATTGGACTTACTTTTTCACAAAACCTATGATGCAACCTTTTTTGCCTGCTTGCAGGATTAAGGTTCAAAAGGCAGCAAAATGTAAGAATAATGTATGGCACAATTTTAGTTGCTCGGGTGTGCTAAACTCTAAAATTCAAATTCCAGACCTTCCAAATCAAACTGAAATTATGTTTGATTAAATGCTTTAAGCAGTAATTGATCTTTTCAACATTATTGTCGGGAGCACATTGACTCAAGAACAGAGACCTTTGTGTTTCTGATGCTTCCAGTTATACCCTTTTGCTTTACTACACATACTCTATTACGATTTACGTCACTAACAAGTCACAGATGTGGCATGATTTATTCATCATAAAAGCAGAAAGACAGTGTGATCTTAACTTGACAGATAAATTAAAATGATTACCTGTATAGCACCCGCTACGTTCCCGGAGCCACCACAAACATCAATCAATGTTGACCAGCTTATTTGATTAGGAGAAAGGCCCAAGGTCTTCATTTCATCCATCAAAGCTTTGGCGCGGTAATAATCAGCACCACAGGCTTTCATCAGAATATTGTAGGTCGAAGTAGTGGGTCTAAATGGAACCCCCGTGGTTAAGTGTGAGTATGGTCTTGATGTAACTCTCGTATGGTGTACTGCCAAAGAGTCGTCTGAACTGTTCAAGTTATTGTCACTGGTAGTTTGTTCAGAACCTCTTTCTTTCCAGGACTTAAATAGCCGAAAGGCCCGATCGTATTGGCAAGCCTCGACACAGGCATGAAGAAGGATGTTGAAACACCGGGAATTGGGTTGACCACCAGCTTCGAGCATTTCGTCAAATAATTTAATTGCTTGTTCTACAAGACCTGCATTTGCACATGCACTGATCAATGATGACCATGTAACTGTATCGGGAATGACGCCAGATGTCACCATATCCTCCTTGACTTCGAGTGCATTTTTCCACATTTTGGCATCTGCAAAAACCTGAATGTTGGTGGGAAGTGTGGATGTCTTTAACATTCTCACTCGTAAATCTTTGGACCGAGAACAAAAAGTGGAGTTTAAAACAGTACACGCAACATATATTACCTACTGCTAGTTAAGTAGTAAAAAGTATGAATAGAGATTATACCTTAATCATTGTGCTGTACGTGAAGACATCTGATTTTAATGCTCCTTTTGACTCCAACTCCCGTATCTCCTTATAAATATCTTGTGCGAGTTCAACTTTTGCAGCAACACAGCACGATTTCAAAAGTATGTTGTGTGTTGTAATTTCAGCTGTCACGCCCAGTTTCTGGAAATAATCTTAACTCAAGTGAATACGCTTATATAATATTGCATCTATCAAGCTGAAAGAGAAGATAGACAAGTAAGTAGAGGGAGAAAGATGGTTGAAACCCTGCATCTCATGCATGTGTGGGATTAGAAAAGAGACTCGCAATTGTATGCTTACACGCATGCGTGCACATTATCAAATATCGTGGGAAGAAGAAAGAGACATAGAGAAACTTACTTTCATCTTCTTGTAGGTACCCAGTGCGTAATTCAGATCACGGGAATTTACATTCATAAGACTGTTGAATACATATACGTTTGGGGTGATATTTCCGGCAAGCAACCCCTGTAATAATATTTTCATGTAAAAGGCAGATAAAAAAACAGTCTAGGAATAATTCTGAATTATTTTCAACCCAGAAGATGTCATCCAATGAACTGGTAGAGTTATAGATGTTGCCAGTGAAAAAGAATATATACTTCTTATGGAGTTTTTGCTTTTGATAAAATGAAAACCAGTCAGGACAATTGAAACGGCTTGGTTTTCACAAAACAAGATGCAATATGTTTTTCTTTCTCGCACAGAAGGACTAAAACCACAACTTCATGCATGAAAGTGAGAATCAGAAGGGCATAATAATAAAAGAAAATAAATAGAAAATGTGCAGCCAATATGGACATAGTTGAGAGTTTTTTCTTGATATCAAGCACCGTTCCAAAATTAGGTACACAAACAACTACTACTTGTGTGTTTTTCAGCTCCTCCTCATTTTCAGAAAATGATAATACAGCCCAATATTAGATAAATTGCATATAATAGCAAAAATACACACACAGGGGTCAAATATATACCATAAAAAGATATAGGTTCGGATAAAACCTAGCAAAAATACCTCATAAATGGTCCTCGACTTCAAGTAGTCACCACAAAGACCACAGACATCTATGATTGTGCGGTAGGCATGCATATTAGGAGTACTCGTATTTTGCTTGGCTGCTTCAAAAGCTGTCAGAGCGGAGGCCAAGTCCCTTTTTTTCCCAAATTCAAGAATTATTGAACAGAACATGATTTCCATATGAGGAAAATTTTGTGCATATCTGCAGAAGCAACAATGAAACTTAATCGGGTCTTCACATGAACAATAATTCAAATAATACTTTCCCCACGTCCCTACTCGTTTGACTACATTTGCACCATAGTCAAAGAAAAATATGCATAACAACGTTCATACAGTGAGAGTCTATTCACCAAATTAATGAAATATCCAATGTCCGCTTATGGTAGAAAAATATAAACGACCACGAAAATACAATACGAATTGATTCAAAGCAGGCTATAACACTAAAATCATCAGTTTGTCTTTCACTGTCCTGATAACACTTGCATCTTATTAACCATGATATTTTTATTAAGAAATAAACTGTATCTAAGAAAAACGAGAAAAGAAACCTTATCGCTGCTGTGGGATCCCTCTGGCTAATGCAAAGGCTTATGACATCAGATGGCTCGACCAATTCTCTGATTTGAAATTTAAACCCTGAACCAGCGAAACAAGCATTTCTTAAATGTGAAAATTGCTCTCCTATCTAATAAAGTTAACCGACTCTTAACTCATATTACTTCATAAGCTATACCTATAGAACTCTTCTTTACTTTCAATTTGAAAAGTTCTTTACCGTTATCAAATTGCTCCCTAGTCCCCACTACAAAGCACTAAACATTGTTTTTAAAAGACTAAAACTGCATATACCGAGTCAATCGTGTGGACATATTATCTTAGTAATACAATTGTAAATTCCAAAAAATATCGATAAGCACGAATTCGATTTTTTCGAGCAAAATAGGTCTAGTGCTAAGAGATTTTACCAGCAAGTGTTTCCATGAAGCTCACAAGTTGCTCGACTTCGCCGCGTTTCAATAACCTCCGACATTCTCTCCTCAGCGACTCCGTGGAAACTGCATCAAACATCTGCACCGGATCAATCCCGATCTTCTCTAGACCATTGAACAGCATCTTAACAACACTATGGAGATTTCCTTCATCAAGCACTCTCGCAACCCCAATTGCGACGCATTTGGCATTCAGCAGCGCTAAAAACTCCGACGGCTTCACACCGGAAGCGACCACGCTCTCCGAGATCATCAGGAAATCCTCGAACATGCCGTCCTCCGCGAGCTTCGAGGCCAGCTCGGTGTTGTACGTCAGGCTTTGGCGATTGTCCCGCCGATAAGATGACAGGAGTGGAGAATAAGTGGGGAATTGGGGTTTATTATGCTTTGGATTGGGATGTGGCTGGGGTTTGGCGGTGGTGGAGGTGGTCGATTGACGGTGAGGGTGGCGGTAGTGGCCGGGAGGTGGGGCGGAGGAAGGGGGGACGGTGGCGGAGGCGAGGATCGACAGCGCGTCTCTCATTTCCTGGCCAACCGTTTCTCTTCTGGTGTCGGTGAATTTGGGGGAATGAGTTCAATTTGATCTTCCATTGTCGTTTTTCAGGATTGAATTCGAAAGGCGGGGATCTACGGCTACGCCACCAGGCATGAAAAAACGTTCTAGATAAATATCCACCAATTAAATAATCTCGATTTTAGTCAAGAAAAATATTATTATTTTTCATAGGGAAAACTACGAGTCAAATTACGAAAACCCTCTTGTTTGGGTAATTACAATCACGCCTCAACTATAAATCTTTTTACACGTTCACCCTTGCGATTTCAGATTTAGTGGAATCTTCGAGATTATATGGAATATTATCACTTGTTATACATGTTTTATTTCATTCGAACTCTACATTTTGAAGCAAGATGATCATAATATGTGTTTTTTGGCTTGTATATATTAGATTGTGGTGCGTTAGAAACTGTATTTTTACACAAAACGAGTACAAACTAGAACACATTCCACGAAATCTAATGATTATGTTGAATTTGACACCATAAGGGTGGAGGTGTAGAAAAAATTATAGTTGAGGGGTAGATTTAATTATCCAAACAAGAGGAGATTTTTCGTAAATTGACCATGCCTCAGGCGTTGTTGTAATTTACCCCTTTTCAATTTTCATATTAAAAACGACACTAATTGATGATTGTAATTACCCAAATATGAGAGAGTTTTGTAATTTGACTATAACTCAAGGAAGTGGCGGTAATTTGCCCTTATTTTAAACAATAATAATGTTTTTGGCAATGTTTAATTATATTCTCATCTTATTTTTTTTTATTGGAAACGAATTCGCGCATGTCAAGAAGTTTATTGAAAAAATATAAAAAATCATTTTCAAAAGTTTATCTCTACTTCATACATGATTTCGGCTACACTAAAAAAATTTGACTATTACGACAAAAAATGTATTCACGAAAAAATTATCCTTCAAATTCTTAATCTAAAATACGATTTTTCCAACAACTTTAAACATGATTTTACCACTACAGTGTAATTTATTTTGTTTCAAAAAATAAACAAATATTGCATTCTCAAATTATTAATTCAAGAGACTATGATCTCACAAGGTGACAAAATTGATTTTGCTAAGACTATTTTAACTAGTGAATAAATATTTTAGTTAGTCTCTTTGATGCACCATATTCCAACCATGTCATATATTTTTTTATAAAAACAATTTATAAACTTACCTTTAGATATATGGAGAAAGACAAAAAAAATAAAATTTGTGCAATAATTTATATTTATATATAATTATATAACATAGGGGCTTTAAGATATAGGTCCCTAGTGACAAAACTAATTTGAACTAAATGACAAGTCTAATTAAACATTTGCTTGACATCCTTTATAAATTTCATTCAAAAAATGCCCCCACATACAAAAAATGAAATATGCACCAAGTAATATTTAAACTGTATTTATCATTTTTTTCATTCTGCATTTAACATTTTTATTTTCGCATCTAGCATTTTTGTTATTATTTTTTTTCGTAGAACAATTTTTTTTTTTTTTTTTTGCATTTTCGTATTTTTTTCTGATTTTTTCAACATAATATTGCAAATTATGATTTTTTTTTTTTTGTCGACCATAGTCTTCTATAGAAATCTGTAGGATACCGTAGTAGTCCGTAGTCATATATAGACACTTGTAGAACACTGTAGTAATCCGTAGTCACGTATTCTTAAAACCCTAATTTTTCCTTCGAACCCTAGCCGCCAAACACCATAGATACCCATAGATACCCATAGGCATCTATAGACATGAAATCGAAAAATTTTAGATTCGCTCCATCAAACCGTAGATCTCCTCCACCAAACCCTAGATCTACGACTCTAACATCACCACGTCACTAAAGATGCCATCCCCCTCCCCCCAAAGTCGAGCACCACGACACTATCACCAGCCCTGCGCCGCCACCACCAACAATCAGAACCGCCGCCACCCCCTCCCCCCAAAGTCGAGCACCACCGACACTATCACCAGCCCTGAGCGCCGCCACCACCAACAATCAGAACCGCCGCCATCACCAACAATCAGAACCACCGTCGCTGCCACCAGCATCCACAACCACCGCCGCCGCCACCAGCATCTAGAACCACCGCCGCCGCCATCAGCATCTAGAACCACCGCCGCCGCCGCCACCAACAACCATAACCTCCGCTGCCCACATCAAGATCCGATCTGGAAAATACCTCGGTGACCAGTCAAATAACAATATAGTCTCCATAACCATCCCACCCCTAAATTGAGAGAGAGAGAGAGAGAGAGAGAGAGAGAGAGATAAAAGAGAGAGATAAAGAGAGAGGAAGCATCGCGAGAAAAGTAAAGAAACGAGAGAAAGAGAGAGAATTGAAAAAGAGATTCAGATCTGATTTGAAGAACCGTAAAATAGAGGTTATATTTAGGGTATAAGGGCAAATTAGGAATAAAAAAAAACAAAAGGATGTGGGTCATATTTTATTTTAAAATAGGGGTGTATTTAAAAAAATTAGTTTGAGGTTGTAATTTAGTTCTAATTAAGTTTGGAAGGAGGGACCTAAACATATTAACCCCTATAACATAACACGAAAAAAAGAAATATATAAAAAATAAATAAATACTAATCCCTTGCCACATCAGGCCCAATACTACAACCCAATAAAAAATGACCCACTTTAATTGTAAAAGGCCCTTCTCCCATCCGACAAACGGACAATAACCCGGCCCGTTAAATTAAAACGGGTTCATAAATTTCTCTGCAAAAAACCGGATCCTCCCAATTCACACATACCCTCATCCCAAAACTCACACAGCGCTACTCCTCCGGCCGCCGTTCTGCGGCCACTCCGTTTTCTCCGTCGCCAATTCAATCACTTCCGAAAGTAAGAAACCACAATCAATTTCTTTCCGGCTGTCAATCGGAGTGAAAATTCTTCGCTGATTATCGAAGTAGGATATTCAATTTTTGAGGAGATAGAAACATGCCTCCAAAACCATCAAAAGCGGATTTAGCGAAGAAGCAGAAGAATGTAGAGGACAAAACGTTCGGTTTGAAGAACAAGAACAAGTCGAAGAATGTACAGAAATACGTACAGTCGATAAAGCTCTCCGCCCAGCCTAAACCCGACCCAAGCAAAATCAACGCACAGGTTAAATTCAAAGTCTACTTTTTTTCTTCAATGCATTCATTAATTTTATCAGCTATTGCTTGAATTAGATTTAGCTAGGTCTGAAATCTAGAATTTTTGCTATAAAACAAAATTGGGGAAATTTTGCAGAAGAAAAAAGAAGAGGAACTGGCGAGAGAGAGGGAGCTCAGTGAATTGTTTAAAGTTGCGGTAAAACAGCCGAAAGTTCCTCCTGGTAAATTTCTGTTATATTTGATACTGTAGAAAGAAATTGTAGGAGTGTGTATTAGGTCAGATGTGTTTTTTATTTCTATGGGAATCTACTATGTATAACTCTACGTGTCTTCTCGATTGCATATGTTTGTTTGGTGAATTGGATAAATGACTACTGGCCGGATTATATTTGACCTCAATGTATGCTGTGTTCAGGCGTTGATCCAAAGTCGATACTTTGCGAGCATTTTAAGTTGGGGCAATGTGCAAAGGGGTTTAAGTGCAAGTTCTCCCATGATTTGAACGTGCAGAGGAAAGGAGAGAAGATAGATATGTACAGCGATAAACGCGATGAAGGTTGATGTGTTCATGGTCTAAACTAATATTCGAAATAATGCAAAAAAGATCTCTTAGGTGTAACTTTCTCACCTAATTTTTTGCTTGTGTTTGTGAATGTTTTTTTTTTCTTTTGAAAAGAAACCGAACAGGGAACGATGGAAGACTGGGATCTAGAGACATTAGAGAAGGTTGTCGAATCCAAGAGCAAGGAGTACAACAAGAACAAGCCTACTGAAATAGTAAGCATTTAGTTGTCGAGTTGGCTGTCTTATCATATGGTCGCAGTGAGATCTTGGCAATACTACTTAGTGACATTGTTCAGCTTGTATATTTGCTTAGATTATTTTTTCTTTTGTTTTCGCTTTTAAAAAATATCTTAACAGTGCAGGAATAAAGATAAATTACTAGCATAAAGTTACTGGTGATCGTAAAAATTCTATTTCACCAGAAGAAAATATGGGCATGAAGAACTTTTATAGGGAAAATTATACGTTTTTCATTCTATGATCATATATGCACACGTTTATCATGTTGGCTCGCATAAAATGCTTTATTTTGTTTGTGACGTCATTAGAAATTTGGGTCTTGGTACACTAGTTAGAAGTGCAATGTACATCAACGATGTCAACAGCTATGGGATAATAAAACGAGGTACAGTTTTAAGGCTGCACTGAGTACAGGAAACGTTAGGATTCTTTTATTGATCTATTAATAATTGGAAAGCAGTTTGGTTTGGTGAGTTAGAGCAGGAGCCTGAGTTTGTGACTATGTAATTCCCCTTTTTGTTGTCTTGTTCCAAGAGATTGTAGATTACTCTGAAATCGAGGTATTTCTATGTTCCATGATACCATGTATTCCAGATCAATCATGGCACGAGATGTGGCTGGAATTTTTATGATACGACTGTAATCTGAAGTAACTAAGTTGTCCATATGCATGCTAATCGGAAGCTTTTCCACTCATTCAAAATCTAGTCTTTCTTACTTTAGCTTGTTAAAAAAATGCTGAATGTATTCTTATTTAGGTTGTATCCTGATTATGTTTTGTTATGCTATGACATGCCTACTTCGTGATTTTATTGTTATTGTTATTGCTGTTGTTGTTATTGTTATTATTATTATTAGAATATTTACTTCCTGGTCTAATTTTGTTGCAGGTGTGTAAGCATTTTTTGGATGCAGTTGAGAAAAAGCAATATGGTTGGTTTTGGGTTTGCCCAAACGGTGACAAATGCCAATACAGGCATGCACTTCCTCCTGGATATGTTTTAAAATCTCAAATGAAGGCCCTGTTGGATGCAGAATCAGAAAAGATATCCATTGAAGAAGAGATAGAAAACCAGGTAAATGATAACTCTTGAATCCATTAGCTCTTCAAGGAACTACTTTTGCTACGGCTCATCCTTTCCTTACTGTGCTTACTCACACCCCGCGATGTAATTTATCATACTGATAAGTTTGAATCGTCTTTTTCAGCGTGCCAAAACAACCAGCACAACTCCTATGACTACCGAGTTATTTAATCAATGGAGAAATAAAAAGATGGAGGAGAAAGAAGCTGGCTTGGCTGCACAGAAGGCTGAGAGGGCTAAAAATGACCGTATGAGGTAAATCTTATTTGGTGACTTTTACATGTTATATTTGTTTCTTATATAACCTGCGGGAATATAAATATCATCTTAACATTGGCCTGTTTTATCTCCCAGTGGTCGTGAGCTGTTCCTCTCAGATGCAAGCTTATTTGTTGATGATGCCGAGGCATACGAAAAATACCAGAGAGAAGAACCAGATGCTGAGCAAAAAGTACAGCTTTTCCCTTTTTCCCTATCTTTTTTTGTCTATTATTGTAAACTCGTGGCCTTTTTGTTTCTGAAAAATATTGTCTGGTGCCTGACAACGAGGGAAGATATTCCTGAAAGCAAGGCGTAATAACACCCGAGACACCCTAAATGTGATATTGATTCCATAAATCTTGTTTACTTGGTGCTCAGGCATTACTGTTAGTCGACTAAAAATTAACTCGTTTGATCATTGAGGCTCATCTAGTAAGACTTACACTCATACAGATAATGAAAGTTACATTTTTTTTATTTTATAACCGGTCTCTTACTATTTACTTAGTCTAGTTCAGTTGTGGAACACGTCTTAATTCGTTTAATTCAGTTGTTAGTTCATAACGTAGTTAGTATGATTCAGCTGTGCGAAATTACATAGCTCAGTTACAAGGGGTCTTTAGCCAAAAGAAAAAAAACATTGATGTCCTTATAGCAAATAATTTTGTGACGAGGGACTTTAGCAAAATTTCCCTTATTTATTTGCAGCCAAATTCCGAAGAAGCGAACACTCAGCTATTTCATGTGATTCATTTAGGGTTCATTAGGATGGAGGGATTTGGAGGAGGGATTTCAAATCCATAATAACAAATCCATTGGACTTGTTTGGATTGAGGGATTTGGGATGAATTTCAAATCCACACTCCTCCTTTTTAGTTGTTTTTGGAGCAGTTGTGGTGGATTTCAAATGACTTCAAAATTGGTGTCATTTCAAATCCCTTCCCCAAATCAAATCCCCCTCCAAATCCCTCCATCCAAACGCTCTCTTAAATCTTGGATATACGTAAATGACAGTACATAATGTAGGATATGTCGAAGTGATTGTGTTTTACTGGTCTCTGGAACATAATCTATGAGTTTTCATGGTTTTACTTTCTTAATTTTGTCTATAGATTAACATAACAGCCGTCATATAATGCCTTGTGTATTGTATTCAGGTTAATAAAAATCCTGCCATGGATGGGCCAAGCTCTTCCACATCAGCTGTACGTGATGCAGAAGGTATTCATGAAGACGATGATGAAGATGATGATGACGATCTTGACATGGATGAACTAAATGCATTGGAAGCTAGCCTATCAAGAACATCTTTACAAATCAAAGAACCAAACGGAAATGTGTAATCATGCGGTAGGCAGATTAGCGTCTTGCCACAATTTTTTTTTCCGACTTATTTGAAAATTATCTCGAAATTTGGGTGACTGCTGAAGTCATTTTGTGAGAGGAATGAGGATTTATTTATGTCGGATAATAGTAGCAAACAAATTTCTTTAATTCGGACGGAGTTTTTGTACTAATTTATTTGGGTTTTTGTTTTTCCTTTTGGTACATTCAGGCCATGAAAGTTTTGTTTATTCGGGTTGATTATGCATGTATTTGCGTAAAAAACTAGAGCATTAAAATACGAGAGCAAAAGACACTTGAACACATATTTTTCAAGGGAAGAACTTGGTTTCAGATACGAGAAGCAACGAGCTATGGCGGCGTTTTCTTGTCCGTTCCACTGGGGCAGTCTGGTGTGTGTCGTAATTGTAACTTTGATGCTGCTTCTTTAAACGTCTTCACAATGTCGTTATATACTTTGATTTTAATCTGACCCCTTCTTGGAGGGAGTTCAGTCACCGTCTTCTTCTTGGGTGCTTTGCTCGATTCTTCCGCCATGCCCGTTTTCTAGTTGACGAGAAACGATAACAACAGACGAGATAAAATAAGTTAATTCCATTTTTTAAGGAGTGCAATACAAGAATCAATTTAAACAACAAATGTCTATACCTGTTTTCGTATTCGTGGGGAACAAATATTTTTCTCGACGGCAAATACAACGGCTCATATGAAACATTCAAGAAACGGAAGCTCAATTTATAATGTAGGAAAAAAAAAGAATTCCGAGAGGTACTATATGCACCAGACAAGTATGTGGAAATACTGAAAAATCAAAGCAGCAAACATCGTTGTCGAACTATTATTCATTGCACTCGTGCCCATTATTCCCTGCGATAAAGATGTCTGAAAATGACATCAATGCCTTACATGGTGGGAGCAGAAAGTTTTATCTTGACCAAATCGGTATGCTCTGGTGAAGACAACATAAAACATAACGGCTTCATAGTAAGAAATTTCAATTATCGTGTCAAAATTCGGTACTAGCTAATGTGTACTTAGAGAATTATTGACTACTATTCTATGTTCTTTTAGTGGGATCAACCCTCAATCTGAATACATTGTATTTGAACTAGCATACTTATGGGTTGTGACAACTCTTTGAAAATAATTCTTAAAGCCGGGCCATCGTTCGTGTAATACGGTCGAATTGACGACATGTTTTGTTGCTTGCTCGTAAACTTGTGCAGATATATATCAAGAAAAATAGCACATGAAATGATATCTTGCTATAAAATTCAATGATCAATTTGGTTTTTAGATAATGGTAGATATCTCGTAAAGGGTAATTAGATGCTACATCTGGTTATCTACATTGGGTAAATGTTAAATTGTAGATCTGCACATAATCACAAACGTGAGCAGTCAATTAACCCCATCTACCATTAATAATCAGCAGATGTAAATAACGAGGTGTATCATCTAATTTTCCATCTCGTATATTTGAAGGCATTGCAGTAATGAATAATATGACTAAGTACTTTTCTTTACCATCTACTACTATCCAAACTTTTGTACTAGGTTGATCTCATATTTATATTTCAAGCAATAATATTTTAATTTTGCAATAAATTAATCAAATAAGTTTGAAATCATGCATATATTTTTAAATTATATAATAATAATAATAATAATAATAATAATAATAATAATAATAATAATAATAATAATAATAATAGTACAAAATATATAAAATAAAATTTTGTATAATATACATCTTGTGGGACCCATCTTGCCGAAATATTATTAATAAATAAAAATAATATATTTTTATAATTAATTTACTATATAATATGATCTATACTAAACATCATATTAAAAAAAATTCCCATAAAAAAAAATGAAAATGAAAACCCAAACGGGCCTCCTTGTTAAAGTTCGGCCCAAACTTTACAACAAACACCAAAGACCAAACATGACAGCCCTTTAGCCGAACGTCGACGTATTGAGTGGCAGTGACCTCACCACGTGGCGACAAGCCATTTAGATGGGTCCCACATGCCCCCCTGCATTGCAAATTATAAACCACATATTTTTGTCACCCTTCTCAGCCGTTCGATCTTTCTTGATCGGACGCTTGAAATAAAATCTTACCTGTGGTGCTGACGAGGCCGGGACCACGTGGAAAAACTAGTGGGATTGGATATGTACACGTGGCATAAATTTGAAACGCCTTGGGAGCGTTATTTGATGGACTCGAGCCTACGTGTCATATTAATAGCCATGTAATTTTATTTAAAGTTAAATATAATTATAAAATTCCTCGAATATTATATAATTACGAAATAAGCTAATAATAATAATAATAATAATAATAATAATTTATTTTAAATGTTACTAGAATAATATATTACGAGCAAAATAATACAATCTACAAATATATTATGAGCAAAATAATATTATTTTATTAAAATACATTTAAGAGATTATTGATAATTATATATTTTTAAGTTCAAATATATAATTAATTATGTTTTCCCACATTATGCCAAGTGGCGAGGGAACGATTGGTTGACAGGGCTCAATCGCACTCGTATACCCAACGGCTCATCCCACCACCAAAACTCATTCCCGCCTCCCACCTACGCCACGCGCCACCAGAGATGAATTCGACCTCACCGGACCACTCTCCTCAACCGCCGCCGGGCGACGGGTCGGGTAAGAAAGTCCGAAAGCCGTACACAATTACCAAGTGCAGAGAGAGCTGGACCGAAGAAGAGCACGACAAGTTCCTCGAAGCACTCCAACTGTTGAGTCTCTCTCTCTCTCTCTCTCTCTCTCTCTCTCTCTCTCTCTCTCTCTCTCCTTCATTTACCATGTGATTCATGAATTTCGCACTTGTTTCTGTGTAAATGCCATTTTTTTGGCGTAGCTGTTCGATCTTCCGAAAATTGATTTTTGTACGATACAAATTGTATGTAGCTGATAATTTGATGTTATTTTGAAGCACGTATGGCAAAATTTCTGAAGATTTAATGCTGTATTTTCTATGTCAAACCCAGTTTCGATCGCGATTGGAAGAAGATTGAAGATTTTGTCGGCTCAAAGTCAGTAATTCAGGTGCTCATTCTATAACTTAATTTGATTAATATTCACCGTGATAATGCAATCGATTTGAATTCGTCGATATTTGAGCAAGTAATGCACCTAAATTGTAAGCTATAAGCATCGCATAATCGGCCAGAATAGATAATAATCTATTTATTCTCGTGAATATGGAGATCTGAATAGTTACTGTATAGAATTTGGGGCTCTTATTTGCGGAATTTTGGTTTTCATTCGCGAATCGCAAAATATAGCGAAAGATTGGCTAAGTACTGAACACGACTTCGTTCGAATTAACAAAATTCGCCTTCATTGTCTAATTTTTGAAGCCTTGACAAATTGTGTTGAAATAATTCGTGACAGATTCGAAGTCATGCGCAGAAGTACTTTTTGAAAGTTCAGAAGAATGGATCGGTGGCTCATGTACCTCCACCTCGGCCTAAGCGCAAAGCTTCTCATCCGTACCCACAGAAGGCATCCAAAAACGGTTCGTTTCAAATACGATTAGAGAAAATGATATTCGTCCTATAATTCAGTACTTCTGGCATCTTGAACTCGTTATTTATCGTGAATTTTTACTTGGCAGTTTTGATTCCGTTACAAGCAGCAATTGCTTATCCTTCTTCGTCTGCGAATCCTCTCATACCTGGATTTCCATCGTGGGATGATGTCTCGGTTCTTGTGAACATACCAATGGTCTCCGAAAGTAAATACCGTTTTCTTGGAGATGAAGGTTTGGATAGTAAAATTTGACGCTATATTGTGCGTGATTGCAAAGAAAAATTGAAAGAACGTTTGTATATTTATTTATCCGATAATCCACTTATCAAACTTTTCCACTCTTATTCAGCTGATATCGGAGCAAAGGGGGCTGCAACTATTAGTAACTGCAGTATGAGTGGCTTTGGAAGTTCACCAGGAGCATCAACAAGTTCCGAGTTAATCGAGCAGGGAAAACAAGATGCTATGCTTCTAGGTATAATTCTGGAAAATGTCTGGCTAAATGAATCGATGCATTTTCTCAATTTTGCCCTTACATCACTACTAACTAGGTGAAAGAAAATTAGTTAAGAAACAATTAATGATAAGGGTATTTTAATCACTTTCTACATTTTTTTAATGCATGCATGTTTATTGGTTTTCTTATACGCGCGGAACATCCCAAAACGGCAAATATTTTATATTGGAGCTAGGGAGTACTGTGCCGTCTGTGGTCATTGTTTGTGTTTCTCTTTCCAGGTATTCCAGATTTTGCGGAAGTATATAGCTTCATCGGGAGTGTCTTTGATCCCGATAGTAAAGATCATGTCCAAAAACTGAACGAGATGGATCCCATAAATTTCGAAACTGTGAGTTCCTGTTAATATCTGCAACGAGTGTTGAATTATGTTGCAACAATGTACATACTATAGTTTATGAAAAAAAAAACATAGTCATAAAGTAGCACTTCTATTGTGATAAAATGCATTTACACAGAGTTTGATTTCGCTATTGAAATGCAGGTCGTGTTATTGATGAGAAACCTTAGCATCAACATGTCCAGCCCTGATTTCGAGCCAATCGTAAGTGCTTTTCTCTATCCAAACGCCCCGATATTTTTGTATAGAGGGGTTTCTTCTATCTGGCAACTCTAGAAAATAAAAAAACGGAACCTGATCTCAGTTTGTTCTTCGATCAAGTACCCTACGGACTTTTGAGTCTTTTTTTTTTCTTCTTTTTATTTATTTTTAATCATATGATGCTAATACTACTTTTTAAATACTTACTCGAAAGGGTTTGAACATTTGTCTGCAGAGAGAGTGTCTGTCATCATATGAAGCCCATGCCAAGTCCGTAGAGTGTTCTCCTGGAACTGTCGTTAGTGCTGAATAAAGATCAGTCGATTCGTCTTAAACTCTGTAATTATAATCCTTTTGTAATCTAAAATATTGAATATGGAGTAAGGTTATATTTGTGCAGATATCGATCTTTTAGCAGCACATTTTCTTACGAAAAAAAAAAAAAAACATCCATGTTTCAACTTTGTTAGACACGTTGTACTAGAATGCTCTCTTAGCTGGTTTTTTCAAATTCGTCGTCAACCGTGCCGAGTGTACGCAGGTTGAACACTTTTGTATTTATCATGTAAATGGTGCATATTCTTGGTGTAAACTTTTAACCAGGGTTTGCTATCTCTGGTGCAAATCCAGTGAACTCCTTTTATATTCGAGATTATTTATTATAATTTCGTTTACGCTCGATTTGTTAAATAATGAAATAGGCTTCCATTTAAAAAACCAAAAAAAATTAAGACATGGCCATTTACTCTCGGGACATGTGCATTAAATACACCGACAAAAGCATTAAATGCTCGAATGACTGAAGACGGCCGGAAAGTGGGAAAATGTACGGATATCTTGCTAAAAGGCTATGACATAGAGCATGAGTAGACGACGAACAACTCATTAGCTAAAAATGATGGCCTATGGACGGGCGGAAAGTTGGGAAGTATGGCGATGGAATCAGCGATAGGCATACGATCCCAACTGACTTGGCCATCGGAATGCTAACTCTAGCATCAGTTTGTCTTCCTTTTCTTAGAACTTCCACTCATCCAACAATTGCGAAGGGACCCATTGATCGAGGTGTTTTTTTGTGGATCAATAAAATATTTATAAAAAATCAAGCTATTCGAGCTCGACTCAATTTCGTATCAAATCAAACTGAAACTCGATTTTCTAATTCTTTGAGAGCTAAAAAATTAGAAAAACTTTGCATAAATATTTTTCGACAATCATAAATAAATATTCAAATAAATAATATAAAATCGTTTAATAAAACAAAAAACCCAATAGAACAGGCTTCTGGAATGGCCCAATAAGAAACAAATAGGTCAAAAATAAAGCCCTAAAATCAGCAGGCCCGTTTACTATCATTTTATAATTGCCCATTCTTTATAAAGCTTTCTTTCTGCAACCCTAATTTCTACACTCTCAGCCAAAAACCCTAGCCCCCCTCATTTTCTCCCCAACCACCGCGAAAATGGCTGCCGCCGCTCGCCCTCTCGTCACCGTTCAATCCCTGGAGAACGATATGGCCACCGACGGAGGTGCCGCCGCCAACTCCCTGCCCCTTCCAGATGTGATGAAGGCGTCCATCCGCCCCGACCTCGTCACCTTCGTGCAGAGCCAAATCTCAAACAACTCCCGCCAGCCCTACGCCGTCTCGAAGAAGGCCGGCCACCAGACCTCCGCCGAGTCCTGGGGTACCGGTCGCGCCGTTTCTCGTATCCCCCGTGTTCCCGGCGGCGGTACCCACCGCGCCGGGCAGGGAGCCTTCGGGAACATGTGTCGCGGCGGTAGGATGTTCGCGCCTACCAAAATCTGGCGCCGCTGGCATAGGGCCGTCAACGTCACCCAGAAGCGCCACGCGATCGTCTCCGCGATCTCCGCCTCCGCCGTGCCTTCTCTGGTGATGGCGCGTGGACACAAGATCGATGAAGTTCCCGAATTGCCCCTAGTCATCTCCGATTCAGCTGAGGGAGTCGAAAAAACCAACGCCGCCCTAAAAGTACTGAAGCAAATTGGAGCATTCCAGGATGCCGAGAAGGCTAAAAACAGCCAGGCCATCCGTGCCGGAAAGGGGAAAATGCGCAACCGTCGCTACATTTCACGAAAAGGCCCCCTTGTCGTTTACGGAACCGAAGGTGCAAAGCTCGTCAAGGCTTTCCGCAACATTCCCGGCGTCGAACTCGCTCACGTCTCTCGACTCAACCTTCTGAAGCTCGCTCCCGGAGGTCACCTTGGAAGGTTCATCATCTGGACCAAATCTGCTTTCGAGAAATTGGACGAGATCTACGGAACCTTCGAGAAGACGTCCGAGAAGAAGAAGGGATACGTCTTGCCGAGGACCAAGATGGTCAATGCTGACCTGGCGAGGATCATCAACTCCGACGAGGTGCAGTCTGTGGTGAGGCCGATCAAGAAGGAGGTGAAGAGAGCTACATTGAAGAAGAACCCACTGAAGAACTTGAATGTGATGTTGAAGCTCAACCCGTATGCCAAGGCTGCGAAGAGGATGGCGCTCTTGGCCGAGGCCGAGAGGATCAAGGCTAAGAAGGAGAAGCTTGACAAGAAGAGGAAACCAATCACTAAGGTAATGTTTTCGTCGTATCTTTGCCCTTTTTATAGTGTCGATCATGATGCAAATATTTACTACTTTGGTGTTTTAATCTCGATATTCTCTGAACACGGTTATTCTGTTTTAAATGTTAAATTTTTATATTAGACATTTGTTTGTTGTATCCATTAATATCTTGAATTCTGAAAACCATCTACCTCGAAAGTTAGTGGTGATTGATTGAAGCAATTGGGTTTTAATTGGATGTTTAGTTCACTATAGATTTGCTTGTTTGCCAAAATTATTGAGGAAATGAGCTCTCTTATCTTGAGTATTGGAAGACTGTATTTTTATTTACACAAGATTGCACATTCTATATTTAGCTAGTATTATCTTACCAATAAACCAAACAAGGCCGTAGTTGATTACATTTTTTGCCCGTTTATTCTGATATTGCATGATTGATGTTCAGTTGTGGATGATATATATTTAAAAATTGGAAGTTAGTTGTAGTTTATCCTAAATTGATAGTAAATGTTCCATTCACATCATTCATTATTTGATACCTGGTCACGACTACTGTGTTTGAATATTATGATGACAGCTATATTACTAAATTCTCGGATATCTAATTTGTGTTTGCTTTCTCGACTATTAAATTGTTTCACGATTAAAGTTTTATTATTTGTCTGAATTTTGTTTCTCCGTTTGTGTTTTTATTTTTGTTGTAGGAGGAGGCAACAGCGATCCATGGAGCTAGCAAGTCGTGGTACAAGACAATGATCTCAGATTCTGACTACACTGAATTCGACAATTTCACAAAGTGGTTGGGCGTTTCCGAGTGATTCATCTTCTCTTTTTTTCAACGTCTTTTAAAACATATATGTTTTCTGTACTCTCTTTTTTTTCTTCTTTTTTTTCGCTTGAGATTTGAAGTAATGATTGAGATCTTAATATCTTTTTGGTTAGTTTGAGGAATTTTGTTTAGACATTTTTTTTGAATTACATGTTATGCTACCATGAAATGTTTATGTTAGTGGTTCACTCCTCTTTTGTTTTGTTGTGCTTTATTTCTTGTGGTTTAATAGGCAATAATTAAATTGTTTTGGAAATCTAGAGCAACAATTCTTGAAATCTATGTATTGAAATCCTTTCCAAAGCCAATTTCTACTAGAGCAAAAGTTGTACATAAGATATCATTTTAATGCATAGTTAGTTGTTGCCTTATGTAAGTATGTAAATTTACTGTATTGATTTCTTTCAGGATATACTTGTCTCCTTAAAAGTAGGAATACTACTACTATTTGTTTGTAAATGAGAACCAGAAGAAAATTGTTTATTATGAACAGATGAGACATGGCCACTCACAAATTTATAGTTTTCTACAATTCTATTGTAGTAAAATAAATTGATTTTCTTCAAGTACAATTGATATGTTTTACATCTATCTTATGATGATTTTACAACAACTAATTTCTGCATTTCTTCGAATCCAACCGGTTATAGATATTACAAAACCTACTCCCAGTGGACACCTCATCAAGAGACTGCTCCAGACTCTGACTGCAACTCCACCATTCTGTTCTGTATATAAACAACACACCACAAACTTCGCATTCGCAAAGAAATAATTCTTGCTCGATTTACTCTAGGAAACAAGATTAGAGTTAAAACATCCTGAAAATTATACATATTTCACCACAAAAAAAAAAGGTCATCAAATTCTCATAATATCCACAACCAGTCGCAACTTAAAAAGTTCAAATGGGACATAAAATGCTGCAAAAATTTTCATTATAAAGAAACCACAGGAGAAAAAAAAGAAAAAAAGAAGCCTTACGCTCTTAGACGACAGAATATCTGCCAGGCTGCGCAGAACCAGGAAGTGACGAAGATTGATTCGTGATATCCTCCAACACACGCTTAAGTTCTGCTTTCGCCCTCTTGACAGATTGCTCAGTGGGGCCCTCAATGAACAAGTAAAGCTTCCTTTCACCGGGTCCCGCAATTTTCCCAGGTGGATAAAACTGTCCTCTAGTCGTAATTGCAGCTCCAGTCCAGTCAGAAATCGGGCCAAGTGTTTCCTTGTGCGTCACTTTCCAACGAGCATTTTGAGGGAAATCATTTATTTCCAATTCAGCCTCATAATGCTCCGGCAGAGCATCCGCCTGAATCTTCGCCAAATTATGCTGTAAATTCATCGCAGCCGCCAGTGCTGCAGCACGAGCCGCCCCGTCAATGCCGCCAACTGGCAAAGAGGTGACAGCTGGCACACCAGGAATGGTAAAACCAGGAACACCAGGCAAAGGACCGGGTAATAATCCTCCATTTGGAGCTGATATAGGTGGTGGAGCGTTTGCTTTTGCGGCGGCAAAAGCAGCGGCTTGAGCAAGGGCGGTTTGCTGAGACATGTCACCACCCGCTTTTCTAACACCGTCGTCTTCGTCTTCAGAATCCGATTTATCTTCCTCGAAACCATACTCTTTCGCCTGAGCCTTCTTTGCTGCTCTTCGCACTTCATCCTCTTCTTCGTTGAATTTAAAACCGCTGCCACCATAGCCAGTTCCATGGGCTTGCTCGAGCCCCTGGTTGACCTTCGCCATAAATCCATCTGCAAGGGCTTTTAGGTCATCTGGCACAGTCTGCTCCGACAATTCTAGGGCCTTCACAAGATCTGGTGCATATCTTGCATCTTCTTCAGAAACGAATGTGATAGCACATCCCTTTTTACCAGCTCGACCTGTTCTACCGACACGGTGAACATAGTCCTCGTAATGGTTAGGAACATCGAAGTTGATGACTAGCTCGAGATCCTTCACATCCAAGCCTCTAGCAGCAATACTCGTGGCAATCAATAAGTTGCACACGTTAGTCTTGAAATCGGTTATAGTGGACTCGCGGTCCGTTTGGTCCTTTGCCCCGTGAAGTGAAAGGCATGGATAACCGGACCGAATTAACTCCTTGAACAACGAGTCGCATTTCTCTTGCGAGTGGACAAAGATTAGTATTTTCCCCTTCTCGGACCATTCTCCAAGTAGTTCCAATAGTCTAAGGAATCTATCACTTTCTGGTCTCACCTCAACGAGTTGGGCAATGTCCTTGTTCACAACACTCCTCCCACCTACCTGTATCTCAACGGGTTTATTCAGCACTTTACGAGCCAAGATTTCGACTTGACGAGGGAAAGTGGCGGAAAATAGCACGGTTTGACGGTCTGGTCTCGTGTTCTGGACAATCCTCGTAATCTGGGGTTCGAAACCCATGTCAAACATTCGATCGGCTTCATCCATGACCAAGTAAGTGACACGGCGCAAATTTGTAATCTTGCCACTACTAGTGCACAGTATATCAATCATTCTACCTGGGGTACAAACAACAATATCGGTGCCTCGTTTCAGCTCACTAATCTGCTGGGCAACACCGGAACCTCCATACACCGGCACACAGCTGAGACCCATCGCCTTTGTGAACTTCTTGATATCACTGTGGATTTGCTGGACAAGCTCTCTCGTGGGAGCCATAATAAGCCCAATAGGCCCATCTCCCGACACAACTGGAGGCTGATCCTTGATGTGCCTCAACATGGGCAACACAAACGCTAGGGTTTTTCCGGATCCTGTTTTTGCAACACCAATGCAGTCACGACCACTCATAATAATTGGTATGGCCTGTGCTTGAATGGACATTGGTTTTTCATAATTCAACTTCTTGATAGTATCCAAAATTTTAGTTGATAAGCCAGTCTGATGCCATGTTTTTATCGGTTTCGGGACATCCTTTCCGTGCAATTTCAGTTCCATTTGTTTCCTGTATGAGGCCACCTCTTCAGCTGTCATCCTGGAAATCTCCTTCACTTCAATATAGAAATTCTTTCTGAAGGGAGGATATTGGATTTTTGAATGGTCAACTATTGAAAGCTTCTCAACTTTGGTCTTCTTCACCCGTTTCATGAATTCTTCATCATCTTCATCCTCCGAAGGTTTTTCATCGTCTTCAAGGTCACCATAGTCCGAGTCAGAATTTTCTCCAGGAATAATTCTTCCCATTAATTTTCTCGTCCCCTTTTTAGATTGTCCCGAATTTGGTTTACCATTTCTTTCAACCAATTCAGAACCGGAGTCGTTCTGAACAGGAGGTCCGCCATTACTTAGCTTCTCAACTTCAGGCAAGACCATTGAATTCATGAATGCATCTAACGGATCAATTTCTTCATCCACAACAGCATGGTCACCACCATTTTCCAAAGCGGGAAGAACCTCATTCTCAGCATCGATGGACATGCCATTTACATCCTCACTATTGGGATTCACAGCTCCATCTTCGTCCAGATCCATTGTTGATTTTCCCTGAGGATCAGATTCTTCATCATCAGATTCCCCATCAAGTGTCCATGTCTTGCCAGACTTGGATTCATGAGTCACCGGCACCCCGAGTTTTTCTATCTCAGATGTCTCCTTCCTTCTACGCTCTTGCCACTCTTGAACTCTCCTCCTCCGCTTTTCTGCCTCATCACCCAATCTCTTTTGCTCTTCAGCGAGATCTTCTTCCCGGCTCTTCTCTTTTATGACCTCAGAGTCTTCATCTCCCTTTTTCCTTGTACTACTGTCTTGACCACCATCCTTATGCCGGCTCGTCTTGCCACTTTCCTCGACATCCTCCTCTCTCCTACGCCTTTTCCTGTCATGGTCTCTAACATCTTCATCATGAGCCATGTCTCGCCGTTTTTCTTTTTCATGTTTTTTCTCTCTCTCTTTCCGTTCTCTCTCTTTTTCCCGATCCCTTTCCCTTCTCTCCTTCTCCTTCTCCCTTTCCCTTTCTCGCTCTCCATGTCTTTCCTTCTCCCTTTCTTTCTCCCTTTCCCTTTCTTTTTCTCTCTCCCTTTCTTTCTCTCTCTCCCTTTCTCGCTCTTTCTCCCTTTCTTTCTCCTTCTCTCTGTTCTCCCGCTCTCTGTCCTTATCCCTTGCCCTCTCCTTCTCCCTGTCCTTCTCCTTCTCCCTCTCTCTGTCTTCTCTATCTATGTCTAACTCTATATCATCCCTATCCTTTTCTCTGCCTTTAGCCTTTTCTCGGGCCCTTTCATCATCACGGCTCCTGGCTCGATCCTTTTCACGGCGCTTACTCTTGTGTTTTTCTCTCTCCCTGTACTTTTCGTCAACACTCTTCTCTCTCTCATGTCTGCTTTCACGGTCCCTATCCCTGTGCCTCTCTCCATTCCTATCTTTTTCACGGCTTCGGCCGTCTCTATGGTGTTTTGTTTTTATTTCGTCCTTTTCAGATCCGTCTCTTCTAGATTTGCTTTTAGGCTCTTCCATTGGTCCAGTGACTATTAAAACAGATATGACTCCAAAGAGAAAGATGACTCTGTAACAACATCAATTACAATTAAAACAAAATTAGTAATCACGAATCATTAAATATTACAAAACAAGTTAATCGATTTATTCACAAGAGTAACAGTAATGGGACAACGCAACGAGTTATCCCCAGGAAATAAAGATGCATACAGAATTCAATCGAGAAGATGGCCAGAACCTAATTTAGAAATAATGAAATACAGTTCCTGCTAAAAAAAATCTGAAAACCCTAACAAGCGAAAAGCTTACCTCTTTCTCCTTCCTTTCGCTACGCTTGTATTATTATTGTACGAAGGTTGAAACTGGTTGATTGTGGGTGGAGCTAATTGCGCGTGACTACAATACACAGCGCTGTTGGCGGTTCGAAGATGAGCGGGGCCGTCAAACGTCGAGAAATTGGATGGAGCTGCTTACGGAAGTTCAATTGGGCCTTACTCTGGCGCGGCCGATCGCCGCCACGGCTGAAAATTGGCGAATCAAGGGGGTGAACGCGGCGTTTTCCGGTGGACGACGGTTTTAGGGCTTCGATTTGGATGAGAAAATAAATTCTACAATATGATGTTATTATTTTACTCAAATTTATAAGAATTAAAAGTAATCATATTCTAAATGAAATGCTATTTACGATTAGAAAATTGCTATTTGCGCTTTATAGCAAAAAATACTTTATCGCTTTAAAACTACAAAAAAATCAAAAAACCCCCCAAATTGCAAATAGCAAAAAAAAAAAAAATCGAAAATTCGAAATTAAGCTTGAAGAAGGGTTGGGCTTTGATTTTTTGATGTAATTTCGACTCTTTTATGTGTAATATGCATTGGATGAGTCGATTACGGAACCAATTTCATGTTAAAAAGACCTACAAATTGATTTGTAGAGCTTTTTTTCGCAAAAACATGTTGGAACGCCCAAGATGGGTGCCCAAAGCGTGTACGAACGCCCATTCCGGACGTTCGTAAACGCCTTGGGCACCCATCTTGGGCGTTCAATTAAAAAAAAAAAAAAATTGCACTGGACGCCCAACTTGGGCGTGCATTACATGAATGGGCGCCCAAGTTGGACTTTTACGCGTTTTGGGGGGTTTTTGGATTTTTTTGGGAAGTTTTGGGGTTTTAAAGAGATAAAATGTTTTTTGTTATAAACCGCAAATAGCAATTTTCAAACCGTAAATAGCAAGTTCCTATTCTAATTGGATAATCCATCTACTAAACGCTAAGCTTTTAAACCGAGTTATTTAAAGCACAGTTTATAATGGGTTAATGGATTCGAGTTTTTGAGCGCCGCTTGATCCGTCTGCCATGTAATTTTACACCGTAGATCTACACCTAATAAAACACATCCATCTATGTGTATGTGTGGTTGAGATATTATTTATGTATATTTACTGTTTAAATTCATACGGTGAATTTCACCAGGTGCAAGATCTCATAAGCCCTCACATCCTATCAGCCCCACCCACCCAACAGAACGTAACTCAACGATAAGTACATAAATGTCACTCAACAAATAATTAAAAAATTGCCACTCACCAGATAATTATTATTACAGAACTATCACTCACCATATAGTTACAAAATTAGCATTCACTAAGGTGGTGTTTGCAAAAGCTTTTTGAAAGTGATGATAAGTTTTTTTTCTTTTTTCATAATTTGTTTTTAGGTGTTTGCAAGATCAACTTTCGCTTTTGATTCTCTTAAAATAATTTACTTTAAGCTATTTTCTTAAAAGAATCTCTAACCCTGTTTTTCTATTTAATTTCATTTTCAATAATATAACTTTTAGAAATAAGTACTTAAAACCGACTTTACTCACAATCATTAACTTTTGCTTTTAAACAAGCTTTTGCTAACACCACTTAAGTAATCAAAGAGCTGCCGCTCATCAAATAATTAAGAAACTGTCACTCGCCGAGTAATTTTATATATGGCCGTAAATTTATTGAACTAATCATGAATTTTAATATTTTATAAACATTTTTTTGCCAATTATATATCTTTCTAAAAACATTGTTTTTTTGCCAATTACATATCTTTTTAAAAACATTCTAAATTAACTTGAATAATGTTTAGAACTACTAAATTGGGGCTTAAGTATATCTTATCTTAAATTGAAAAAGATATAATATCCAATGGGCTCGCTTTTAATTGAAAATCTATATAGCGCATTTAGAGGTAATTCATATAGAGCTGAACAAAGGCCAATCATCCAGCCACAAACAGCACGCCACGTGTCAATCGGCCATGAATCAAACGAAGCAGCATGATGTATGTTCCAGACCGTTAGGCTGCATCCACCACGCCACAATTTGGAAAATTATGGAATTGGATCGAAGTTTCTCGCTCATCTCTACACATATATGTATATGGCTGCTTGGGGGAAGAGATTATTTCAGTTGTATTTCGAATTTTTGCTAGTGTTTTAGCAGCGAGGTTAACGCAGTTGTGAAGTTTGTAGGCGATGGTGACGAAGTATCCGGCGGTGAGCGGAGAGTATCAGGCGGCGGTGGAGAAATGCAAGATGAAATTAAGAGGTTCAATCGCCGAGAAGAAATGCGCTCCGATTGGCGTAAGCTCATTGCCTGCTTCTCGCTCGTCTCCTTCGTTTTGGTTTATAAGCTCAGATCTCTGTTCTTCTGTCTGTTAAAGCATATTAATGTTTGCACTCTACGTGTTTGTTGAAATGCGTTTTGTGTTTGTATTACTCTGTAGACGTATGTATTATTCAGTCTTAACTAATTTAGACACACATGCATATATTTAGTTCAAATCCTACTACATAATTTAGATACGAATTTTTTTTTTTTTTTTTTTTTTAACTTGCACTTGAGTTCATACTCTGTTAGTATTTAGGGGCGTTAATCATGTTTATGGTTTTAAGTTAACAGATTAGCTGTTTAGCGTGATGGATTTGGATCAGTCGATACTCTAAAGGCGTCAACTATAATGATGATTAATTGCCTTAATTGTTGTATTCCAGATGACACTCTGCTGGAACATAATCAACATATGATTGGAAATCGAAAACTGGAGGGCCATTTGGGACAATTAGAAACCCGGTTGAGCTTTCTCACGAAGCGAACAATGGTCTCGACGTTATTTGGTATCAATGTGAAATTGCTTCTCGTTTTGAAACTTTATTTGGCACTGATCCTTTTATCTTCCTCAGCGATTGATTTTATTTTACGAAAAAAAACGAAAGAAATTCTGTCTTGAGTTTTTATTTACTGATGAAATCTGTACGCATTCAGGACAAAACAGAACCCCCACCAGAGGGCCGCTTGCCTGATGCCAAGAAAGGTAATCTTTAGCTCCGAAGCCCTACATACAGTCGAATCGGATACATTACTAGTGACCGAATCTGCCACCCGTAATTCGATTGTGCCAAATTTTCTTTTCAAGCAACTGACTCTGTGTGGTTAAACAACAGATTTGCGGAAGCCGAGTAAAATGCGCGTTCGGAGGATTTGCTGCTGTTTTAGTGTCTGGTATGTGCAATCGTTACTTCTCTCCATATATAAATATATTCTCCTTTGCAAAAGTTTTTTATAAATGGTAATATGGTTTATTTTGTATTGTTGCAAATTGCACGAGTTCTTACATAGCCTAGTCAACATTCAGCAGCTTGATATATAGCCATACAGGTGTGAATTAAGCAGGTTTGAATTAAGCATCAAAGGAAAAAAGGAAGTAGACCTTTTGTTAGGAAAGTCAACTCCTGGGGAGCCATGTTGGAAATAAATAAGTAGATAAAAAATCAAATTGCAAATAAATAATAAATATAAATAAGCAGATAAAAAATATAAAAAAGAGCTGGTGATAGTAAAAAGGAGTTGGGAAAGTTTTTATATACTTTGAGTCTCTTAAAGACTAAGAAATCCCACATCTAAAGGGACTTGCTATTTGCAGTTTGAAAATTGTTATTTGCGGTTTATAATAAAAAACACTTTATTTCTATAAAACTCCAAAACTTCCCGAAAAAATCCAACCACCCAACCCCCCCAAAACGCGTAAAAGCCCAACTTGGGCGCTCATTCATGCAGTGCACGTCGAAGTTGGGTGTGCAAGCTGCATTTGGGCGCCCGAGTTGGGCGTCAAGTGCAATTTTTTTTTTTTTTAATTGAACGCTCAAGATGGGCGTTCCATCATTTTTTTTGCCAAAAAAAAAGCCCTACAAATCGATTTGTAGGGCTTTTTAACATGAAATTGGTTCCGTAATCGACCTACTCAATGCATATTACACATAAAATAGTCGAAATGACATCAAAAAATCGAAGTCCAACCCTTCTTCAAGCTTGATTTCGAATTTTCGATTTTTTTTTTTTTTTGCTATTTGCAGTTTGGGGGGTTTTTGAATTTTTTTAGAAAATTTAGGGAAGTTTTATTATAAACCGCAAATAGCAATTTTCTAACCGTAAATAGCATTTGAAAATAATAAAACATAGAATCATTGAACACAAATCTAAAATCGTAAGTGTACATAAAAAGAATAATACATGTACATAAGTGTTGTTTTTAGATTGTAGAAAGCACAAATAAGCCAAAAGAAAAAAAGTAGGGGTACATAATACAGAAAGTGAGGAAACTTCGTTAAAGTCTTAACAAGGCTCAATAATGTCGCACTTTAATAAAAGGTAACGATTCTTTGCCTCATTATTAATCGGTGGTGCGACGTTGATTAATCGACGATAAATCAGAAATAAATTGGTTTCTTCATATTTAGTGTAATGTATTTTTAGATATTATCTGTAAATACGAAAAAATGTATATATTAAAATATGTTTAAACACGGTTCTATCTCCATCGTTTACATATCCTAATGGCATAATAAAAGTTTAATAATAATACGACCGTAAAACAATAAATTTTTTTATAAGGTACAAATAAAACGCCAAATCTTTTGCATTCAAAATTATGCTTCACCACTGCAAACATATATTATTAGACTCTTTAAAAATAACAACTAATATAAACAAAGCAAAATATAAACTCATTGTTTATTAAAAAGACCAAGATTTTTCTTGGATTTAATAAAAATAAAGAAAAAAGCTAGATTTGATAAATGATTCTTGATCGGTTTTTACCACCAAAATTTGACCGGCTCGGATGGTGTCAACCTGCCTCAAACCGTCTCACATGCCAAAATCCAATTTTTCAAACTTTTACACCAAAATCGTAAAGGTATTGGACCACCTTCGCCTCGTAGACTGCCTCGAAGATAAATTAATCGACCGCCTCGATCGATTTTTAGAATATCGATAAATAACATATGGGTTATGGCCCACAACTCTTTAAGTCTTGTTCATATTTGGTCTCATTTTCATAATGGAAAAACATATTCTATTTTTATTAGTCTATACCCTTCTTGTTGGTCAATTTCAATGGTACAATTTTGTATTTTAAATTTGTGTCGGAATTTTTTTAGTGGTATGACTTTATAATTATATAAATAGTTTCCCATCTCATGTTCTTTTTTGTTATTTCACTAAATTAATTTATGAAATTGTGCTGATTTCCTCTTTTTTTTTTTTTTTTTTAATATCATAATTCATAATCCAACATAAACTTGTTTTCTTAAACCAAACAAAATTTTGCTTTATGTTAAGAGAAAAGAAAGCTAGAAAATGGGTTATTTTTAATATATTTAATAATGTTTTAACTTCTATTGTATCAGTATCACCATATTTTAACTCTATGGACTTGAATTTACTCAAAAAAAAAAAAAAAAAAAAAAAAAAAACTCTATGGACAAGTAATCTGGCGTTTGCGGATGACGCGCGGGTGTGGGCGATTCATGCCCTTCTCCATTTTTCTTACCTCAAAATGTTATCCAATAAAGTATTGCCAAGTGGCGGCATGCCTTTTATGACTCCATTAGATTATTGACCGCTTCAAGACTCACAATTAAAGAAAAAAAAAGGCTAATTTATTTATACTTTTGAAATACAATCTAATTTATTTAGAAAATAAAAAGTTAATTTCAAAAAAAATCACAAAAATTGAAAATTATAATTTTAGCAGTCGGAATGAAAATAAATTGTTTCTAAATTGAAGTCAGCGGAAATGAATTATAATAACTTTTATTTACTAATAAAGCAAAATAAATAAAAATATCGATATTATAAGTGCAATTTTAGCAAGAAAAAATGAAACCTTTGAAATTATATTAAGACTGAACGCGATTGATGTCAATTACTCCCTAAAATAATTAACAAAATACCGATAACAACCTCTTTCAAGATTCGGACCTTCAATCATGACTTTTGTTCGTTGAACAAATAAAAAAAAAGATTATATTTAAAACTATCCTCAACTCTCATCACCAACTCCTTAAATTTTTTTATATCAATAATAAATTTATGTGTGAACAAGCATGCGTTAATAGCTAATCAAATCATTTTCATACCAAAAATTAAGAAAAAAAGTGGTGGGGTGGGGTGGGGGGGGGGTGGCCGGCAGTGCCAGAGTTATTGCCACACTTTAAGTCCAGCGAAAAAGATAATCATCTCCAGCTTCTTATTATTACTTAATTAAATAAATATTAATAATGTTTCCAATTCCACAGTTCACATTTACTAGTTCAAGAACATTCTTCTTCTCCAGGGACTACAGTATACCTTCTTCAGAAGCTCCTCAAAATAAATAATTACAGAAAAGAAAAAAAAAAGGGGGAATCTTGCCTCCACATATTTTCATCAACTTTTGCTCCTAATCTTTTTTCTGTTTAAAAAAATTAAATTAAAAATCTCTCCACTAATTTGACATCTCAATGAGTAGTCCAAAATTAGTTTCCTTCTTTTTCGCTGCCAATCTGATGTGATGCAGTTGCTTTCTATCTGTCCACTTTATTTTCTTCATCGTTTTTGTTTTTGTGGCTTCACCTCCCTTAGTTTAGTTTAGTTTAGTTTAGTACCCCTTTTCAGTTTTCAATTTTCATCGTCTTTGAAGAACAGAGAAGAAATGGTGGCTGTTCGATTTCTATTTCTCCTTCTTTCTTTATATGTTCTTCTTCTCATGGATTCCTCCACAGCCCAGTTGCCAGGTCTCTCTCTCTCTCTCTCTCTCTCTCTCTCTCTCTCTCTCAATTGAATCTGCTGTGTTTTACATTTTTGAGTAATTTGTGTAATGGGTTTTGCTTTGTTCTTGCCATTTGAGTATCTGGTATCTTTTTAATGTATTTGTAGCACTGCCCCCTTCTGTGATGGGACTAGATTCTTGATTCTTTTTTTATTACCTGAATGATAATTTATTCTTGTGGTATATTTGTTCTCGTTGGTTGGATTCACTTGTTAAGGTTGTTGAACTTGAACTAACTGTTAATTACTTGTATGCCGAGTGGATTTTGAAAGAAAACGACAACACGAAATACAAGAATTTCCCGGTGACCCTGAAGTAGCAATGCATAAGTTTAAATCAAGTCCATATGACAGAATATTGTATATTATATATGTGCCGTGCAAGAACTATTATTGCACATAATTTGCAAAAAAGAATCATTTTTTAGCAAATTGGTGCCCTAGATTCAAGCATGAACTTTCGTTTTTAAGTAATCATTTGTTTGAGAACTTTTTTCGAGAGATTACATTTCTATATTTAGATAAAATGAGCCGACCTCTTCACTATGTTTAGATCTTGGACTTGCTATAATCTGTTTTGCCAGTTCGAATTAGGCATCGGTAGAGGGTTAATGGTTAACTCGTAAGTACTAGGATGCATTTTAACGAGCATTTCATTTGAGCATTGATTTGTCCCATTAACAAACTGTATATTCGTATGTGATTCTTTGTACAGTTTATAGCTCCTTGAACGATTCTTGATACGCGTCGGATATATATACAAGTCCATGTTTTTGTAGCTTTGTTCTTACAATATCTGACCCTATGCAGGTTTTGTAAGTGTGGATTGTGGTGGTAATGAAAATTTCACCGACGAGATAGGCCTCAATTGGAGTCCCGATAGCTACATATTAATCGGCAAAACAGCAAACATATCTGTAGCAAACGAGACGAGAAAACAGTACAAGACACTGAGATACTTCCCAGCAGACAATAACAAGTACTGCTACACCCTCAGTGTTGTACCTAGAACTAGGTATCTTGTCCGAGCCACCTTCTTGTACGGTGACTTTGACAGCAACAACGTGTACCCCAAGTTCGACATTTCGTTTGGGCCTACGAGGTGGAGTACAATAGTAATTTCAGATGCGGGTACGATCGAGAGCCAGGAGTTGATATTTCTGGCTGCAGACCCCACCGTCAGTGTTTGTCTGTCCAATGCTACGACGGGGCAGCCCTTTATATCTACGCTCGAGCTACGACAGTTTAACGGGTCCATTTATTCAATCAGT